ACTGAATATTACTAGTCTCCACTCTTGTATTCTACTTGACTATAGTGAACAAAACAAAAGAAGAACAGTATTTCAAGACCTTGAAAAGCTAGGTGTGGTATTAGTTACCCTAGTTCCAGTAACTAAGGAGACTGGGTCAGGATGCTGACATGAGTCTAGGAGTTCATGGCCAGAAAAAGCAACAACACAAGGTTCCATTTCTCCATATTAAAAAAATTAAAAGTGTTATTGAATGATATCATAGTGGGATAGAGACAATAGAATGTGAAAATCTGTTTGTGGCTTATCTTCCATCTCTTTCAAGGAAACACTGAGACATGTGCTACTGTCACTCAGGTTTCCATTGGTGAAGCTCTCTCTACCTGTAACAATAGCATTAACTGCACATAGAGCTTCTTCAGTGAATCCTCACAAAACACTAAAATCTCAATATTATTTTCATTTTAAAGATACCAAAATTCCAAGTAGCAGGTACAAGTTATTCTCATGGAATAGAATAGTTAATTCTCATGGAGATGTGATGAGAATTAATCTCAAACTAACTATCTCTAAACCACATGAGTGTGTGCTGGTCAGTTTTTTTGTCAGCTTAATTAAAAATTCTGAAAAAAAATTCTGGCAGCTAAACTTGGTAATGTCTGAGAAGAAGGAATCTCTATTGAGGAAATTCCCCCCCACCAGAACAATCTGTAGGCAAGCTTGTACAGTGTTATATTGATTGATGTGGAAAAGCTAGCCCACTGTGTGTGGTACCATCCCTGGGCAACGTGTCTAGGGATGTATAAGAAATCAAACCTGGCAATCCAGGAAAGGCAAACCAGTAAGCAGAATTCCACCCTGGTCTCTGCTTCAGGTCCTGCCTTAATTTCCTGCCCTGACGACAATAAACTGTGAGATGAAATAAACCTGTTATTCTCCAACTTGTGTTTGGTCATGGTGTTTAACAGAGCAATGGAAACCTGACTAAGACTGAAATGGGTACCAAGATTTGCTGTGACAGACCTGACTATGCTGTTTAGGCAAGGGTTGTGGAAGGGAGTTGAAACTTTAAGCTGGAAAATCCATTGAGTGTTTAGAGCTTAATGAGCTGTTGTGAGAATTTGGAAAATAATGAGAGTAGTACAGATAATGGAGGGCTGGCTTATGGAGTTTCAGAAGGAAGTTCAAGGCTTCTTTAAAGACTCTATTTGCATCATTTATGTGACATTTTGAATTAAGAATCTGTGGCTCTCCATGCTTTGTTGACACCCATGGGATGCCTGCCCCTTTCTGAGCAGAAACAGAGGAAGAGTGGATTGTGGGAAGGGGTAATTGGAGGAGAGGAGGGAGGGAAAACTGTGGTCAGGATGTAAAATAAATGAATAAGTTTAATTAATTAATAATAATAATAGGCCAGGTGGTGGTGATGCATGCCTTTAATCCTAGCACTCGGGAGGCAGAGGCAGGCAGATCTTTGTGAGTTCGAGGCCAACCTGGTCTACAGAGCGAGATCCAGGAAAGGCGCAAAACTACACAGAAAGAAACCCTGTCTCGAAAAACCAGATAATAATAATAATAATAATAATAATAATAATAATAATAATAATAATAAATCTGTGGCTCTCTCAGCTGGGGCTAAATAATCAGCAGTGATTAAGAAAACACCAATGTCACTAAAGTGAAACCTTTGCTTTATTGGGACAACTGGTGCTGGTTAGCTGGAGTTGAAAAAGTAACAGTGATTAGGAAGAGACTAACATCATTGAGGTGAAATTCTCTGTGAGTATTTTCTCAGATTCAGTACATAGGAAGCTGCGATCAAGAAGAGCCAGGCTAAAACTCATTCTGGTAGCTGAACTTGGTAATGTATAAAAGTTTTTCACATGGTGCTGGTGTTTGAGGTATGAAGGAGTCATGGGGAGCAGCTGAGACTTGGCACTGTGAGAGGCCAAGAGAGGCCATTGGTGAAGGTGCAGCAACAGTTACTGTGGAGACCTCAGGATGAAGGGGTCATGAGGAAAAGCTGAGGCACCATGTAGCAGAATTGGATTACCTAAAGAGAGGCCAAGGAGGTCAGCAGTGAAGGTGTAACCTGTGTAGAACTCAACATGTGAGAGATCCGAGTGCTGTGAGACAAATGCCAAGGATAGGCACCTGTGGAATGGAGCTGGATAAGCTTACAAAGCAAGCTGTGTGTACTGAAGACGGAGAAGAGGAGATGCTTAGGCCCTTTGAAGGCCAAAGGATGATGAATGGGTCCTATACGTCAAACACTGAACTTTTTATACTGCGAAATTTGGGGCTTGGTTTGAGTTGATTGTTGCTTTGCCCTAGATCTCCCCTCTTAGAATAAGAAAGTTTATTTATTTTATAAGAACCCACAATTGAGAGACTTCGAACTTTTAAAGAGACTTTGGATATTTTAAAGAGATTGAACTTTAAAATATTGAAGCATTTGAATTTTTAAGACTGTGGGACTTTTAAAAATATTTGTTTTATATTGTGATAGTAATATTAATATGAGATGGGGGACAAACAAGAAAGGAGAGGTTACAGTTTAATAGTGTTATATTTGTATGTCATGTTAACAATGGGTCAACTGTGCTGGTTGGTTCTCATCAACTTGACATAAACCTATAGAAGAGAGAATCTCTATTGAGGAAATTTTCCAATGAGAACAACATATAAGGAAACCTGTGGAGCATTTTATTGATTGATGATTGATGTGAAAGGGCCCAGACCACTGTGAGTGATGCCATCCCTAGGCAAGTGGTCCTAGGATATATAAGATCAAATCTAGCAAGCCATGAAGAGAGTTAGTAATCAGTATTTTTCTCCATGATTTTTTTTTTTACAGTACCTGCCTCCAGGTTTCTTCCTTGATTCCTGTCCTAACTTTCCTTCATAATGAACTGTAAGAAAACATAAATTCTTCCTTCCCAAATTGCTTTTGGTCATGGTGTTCATTATAGCAATGGAAATCTAACTAGACAGATTATACTCTATAACATAATCATGACTCTAGAGGCTTTGTTGGTTTATCGTGTTGCATCTAAATAATGGAGTTGGCCAGTGCCCCAGATCAATACATGGTAACTCCCTACAACAGTTATAAGGGTATATTCAGAGTCCCTAGGAAATCTATCCATTTCATTTGAAAGGGATAACAGGCTTAACTATTTAGTGTGAATTATTTGGTCCCATTAGCTCCTGCTTCTCTCTGTCTTAGTTCTAACTCCAGAATTTAGAATAAAACCTGTATTTCATCCAAATGCTTCTTTTAACTCTTAGAGCTTATACTCTGTTCTGAAACGCATCAGTCCATGACCATCATAGATAAATGTGCAGAATGACTACTATAAGACAAAAGCTCTACTATAACACATGAAGATGGGAAATGTTTAGCCTTGACTCTGAACAAAGTTTGAAATCTGGCCAGCATGAAACAACTAAACTCCTTGTAACCATGTCCTTCTTCATTTTAACAAAAGCATCACTTAGTCTGACAAAATATGATACTTCTGCTTATATTTGACATGGTGGAGGATTATAAGACAAGAAAGTATGAGTTGAGAGAAATATAGAAGAAACAAAAGAAAAATGAAGCAGCTATGACTATTTTAGACCTTGACTTTGCCTGAAATGCCCGTGTGCATAGATCCATATTTTAAAATGAATTTGAACATTTACCCAAGCCTAAATTTAGCTCCTCAATTATTTGTTCTGCCTGTCTTTATCATGATTTAGGCTTCATATTTCATTGTGTGGAAGGCATATGTGGCAGGCTAATGGTCTAAATACCTCAGTCTCATTTATAAATATTTATTGCCAACTGCTGTGTTCATGTCTTTGAAGTCATGTGCATGGCTCACTGTGAGCCTGTATTTCCCTCCTCTGCTGATAGAGACAACCTACTCAGCATTTTCTTTACATCAAGAGAACTTGGACACTAAGTGATTTTTTTTTCTAATTCTTCGTCTCATATCACTCACCTCTACTTGTCACAATTTTTCCTCCTTTACTTAACACGCCATGTAGTAAAGGCCAGAGCAATAAACAAACTATGTTGATCTGTCTTGCCAGTGAATGAAAGCTGTGTTACAGCCGACTATGGGTGCCACTGGAAACCAAGTGGCAGTAAGTTTAACTGAGACCAAGAGTCTCATAACATAATGTAAACAGGTCCAGATTCCACATTTGTGTACCAGGAAGACCTGAAGCTATATGAAAGATTGTAATCAATAGATGACAGTACCAAGATGATAGACAAAGTATCAGAATGGTGTCAAAATTTGAAAGCTCCCATGACAATCAATATCCAATCACAGTGTAAAAAAAATATATGTCAAAAGAGGGTAGCTTCTTTAACTTGATATAATGTCTTCAAAAACCTTATCTAACTCATTTAATTGTAAAATATACAGTAAAATATACAGTAACTCCTAAGGTTAACAATGGAATAAGGATGCCTTCTCTTACTCAACTCTAATGCAAATAAACCTAGAAGTTACAGCTAGTAGAATAAAGCAGGAAAAGTAAACAAATGACATAAAGGTGTAAGAAATAAACAAAACTGTCCCTTTTGACAACTGAAAGAAAATATACCAAAACATTTCTAGGAGAAATGAGTGCTATCATCAAGCCACAGTGTATAAGAAAAGCATTCAAAATTGATTGTATTTCTATACATAGTAATGATCACATAGATACTGAAAATAAAAACATACTATTATTTATATTACCTTTAAAAAAGAGAAGAAATTAGGTGTGAGTTTAACATACCTGCACAGAGCTTATAAGATAAGGGAAGCCAAGGCAGAACTGATTAATGCAGAGATATATAGTATTTATGGATTGAAACAATAAAGATGGCAAAGATGTTATTTATCTACAAATTGAAATGCATGTATAATACTATACTTATCAAAATCCATATATGATATTTTGTAGATATAAATTATTCCAAAATTTTTATGAAAAGCAAGGATCTGGAACAGCTTATTTATTCATTCTTTCACAATTTCACACACACATACATATAGATCATACTTTTATAATATTCCTTCCCGTTATCTTCTTTCTTATCATATACTTCCTCCCACTGAACCCCTGCTTCTTTCCAGGAATCCCAATAATAATTTCTGGTCTTTTGTTTGTTTATTTGTGACCCATTGCCTCCATGAGCATGGATGAGGGTTATTTATTTGAAGAAGGACAATCTACCAATGTCTTCACCACTTAGGAATATTATTGGTCCTCCCCCAACAACTATTAACTGACAATAGCTCATGGGGAAGGGGTGGGTGCTTCTTAGAACCTCCTCATCCATGACAGAATATTGGTGGGTCCAGGTTTTTGGAAGTGATCAACTACTCTGTAGGTTCAGAGGTACAACTATCATGCCATGTGCAGATGACGACTTGTCACAGTTCTCCTTTCCATCCACTGGCTCTTATTTCTACTACATCTCCCAGTATATTCTCTGAGCCTTGGGGAGGATGATGTAGCTGTCGCGTAAAGGATGAGCACTCAGGAGCTAAGTGAGGTTTTTAAATCTGGAAGGAATCAAATAGCACAATTTTAAGACTTACTGCATATTTTGAGAAAGAGAGAGAGAGAAAACATGAAGTTGGGTGGATAAGGAAGTTAGGGGAATCTGGGAGAAGCTGGGTGAGGGGAAGACTATAATAAACATACATTGTATGAATATTTTAAAGGATTTAATACATAGCTATATAGTAGGCAAAGCTGAGTGATGTGTGACATTGACAGAGGGACACAGACTAAAGAAATATAATAAAGAGCCCAGAAATATGCCCAGAAAAAAAATGTCAAACTGATCTTGGAAGAATTTGTTAGGAGTATTAGTTCTGTACATGAGCTCCTCCACAGATTTTTTATGGCACAGGCAACTGCCTTTCCACAGAATGAATGGGAAGGGACAGACAGAAAGACAAAAAGGCCTGGGAAGAACCAAAGATCCCTTAAAAATCTAATCTTGGAAAGGACTTTCCATCATTTCTGTGATGTGCTATTGATCACATAGTGATCCTAATGTAATGTGTGATCTGATGGAGGATCACCCAAGGGGCGAGTTTCAGAAAGCAAGGCTAGGGTGGGACTGGACTGGAGGCTGGCTACCAATCCAGAAGGATACAGATAGGTAGGTATTCTTCATTGATACTTTCATATTAAAAGAGTAAAATTACCTTAAATCTCAGGAAAAATGTACAATGAAAGTAACAGTTCCCTCCATGCAGTTTCACCTTCTATTGTTAACAGTGTCAATATCAAAGTCCAACGCTCTTGAAAGCTTCTAGTTTTTTGAACAGTTATTCTCCAGTCCTGAAAAATAAACATTTTTGTGGGTATTTCATCGATTAAATCTAAACTCATTTGACTTGGGCATTGTATAATATCTTAACATATACCCTAAAACTACCTCCTACTCACATACGTTCATACTCACTCACACATTTATGCTTCTACTACCTCATCTTTCTAATGTGCCATAAAAGCCTTCCTGCCTGATATGAAGAGAGCTAGTTAATGGAGAAGAAGTTGGTTGAAGAGGGTAATTATACAAAATGACATATGTCCATAACATTTGGTCTTAACATAAAATATGTCACTGTAGATTCATTCGTCAAGCTTTTGATACAGGGCCAGGGCCTTTTCTTTGAAAGTGGATCTCTGATTAAAGGTTGACATCATGTTTCTTGTATGACTTTTACAATTTCTTGTGCAAGATTCTTTAAATCAAGGACAAGAACTTAAGTATTCCTATATTTTATGAATGTTATCCTTTACTATATTGGGTTTTTTTGTTTCAGTTTTGTTTTGTATTGTGTGTGTGTATTCTTTATTCTTACCATCATCTAATGTAATAACTAATTTAGCCACCAAAGTTTTAAATAATTTCCCACTAACTTTTAGAATCATTTAATTTACTTAATAGTTTTTTTAATATATCATGTTTTATACTATTACAAGTTTTCATGTGACACAACACAAACAGCATAACAAGTTTTAGAAAGAAGTACACCTGAATCCATAGCACTGTGCATCCCAAATGCAGAGTGAGAACAAGAAGTCACTGCATATCCACAGTCATGGAGAACACTGGAAATACACACAGGGACCCAGGCAATACATGTATGCAGTTTTCTGAGAACACTGAAACTGCACGTAATGGACCCACTTTCTGCATGTGTTCACTTTGCTGAAAACACTGGAACTACACACAATGGCCCACTCACTGCATGTGTTCATTCTGCAAAGAACACTGGACACTGTTCTTTATTCTGAACATGTGGATTATCTATCAATTCCAGAGTTGATTAAATAGGCTTGATAAGAGATATTCTATCATCTTTCATCCCACAGGAAAGCAACACTGGGGAGGGGTTGTTTGTATAGAACTTAAATCATTAGCCTCACAGGTACTGTGATAACAAAGTACGTAGAAGAGTTGCCATGAGGCTACAGATTTCAAGAAGAGACAAGAACTATTTCAACTGAAAACAACAACACTGTCCACTTAAGCAGACACTGCTAAGCTTACCATATCTCATTTGTATGACTGTGAAAAGGATCAATTCTGTTCAGTGTTGTTCATTTCAGGCTGTGAAGAGTGGAGACCCTCTTTCTCCATCAAGTGGATTTAAATACAATTTAGAAAGCCAGGGATGCCAGGCGGTGGTGGTGCATGCCTTTAATTCCAGCACTCAGGAGGCAGAGCTGGGCGGATCTCTGTGAGTTTGAGGCCAGCCTGGTCTACAGAGTGCGATCCAGGACAGGCACCAAAACTACACAGAGAAACCCTGTCTCGAAAAAATTTTTTAAAAAAAAAAGACATAATTATTTTAAAAACCTAGAAAGCCAGGGATTTAACCCAGAGGCACAGTATTCACCTGGATTCCCAAGGCCCATTCCTCAATACCACAAAGAAAGTGTTTATTTAATAGAATAAAATGCAGTGATGCATGATTCTTCACTGTTCACCCTAGTTAAATCTATATGATCTAGCAGCATTATCATTTAGGGAACTGATCCCATGTCCAGAAGTTCTGTCTACTGATCTCAGATAAACATGGCCTCCAGTCATCATGTTTAACCTCTGATGATTTAGATCAGATCATTATTAGATAAGATATAAGAGTGTTTTTTTTATAATTACTTATTACCTGTTTTATGTAAGCCATGAGAAACAGTCTAGAGGAGAGACAATGAATGCAAGAGAAGATGAATACTTTCCAGATTTTTGTTAAGGCCTTATGACCATTGACTAATGGCAAGTCAGAAAACTTACCTGGAATGATTAGAAAATGCAGCTGGTGTCATCATTGCATTTTGCCTGAAAGTGTGGTCTTCTATTATACAAGCAACAAATGTTCTTATCCAGTCCTTTCTGGCTGCAGTTCTACTTCATATACCCAAACCAATACCATTCATATTGCTTTTCCAGTATTTAGAAGCTTTTTCTTCATTTATGGGCAAAATGTGTTCTTTACATGGGATGCTTTCATTGCTTTTGTGTTCATGTTTAAATGCTGATTTAATTTATATGATGCATTAGTATACCTTGTTACCCAAGGAATGGATTAAGACTAGATGAGTAGTTTTAACAGAGTTATTAAAGAAAGCTATTAGGGTAAAAATATAAGCTTCAGCGATTGATGACAACCAAGCAACAACTATATCCACTCCTAAGCAAATGGCACTGTCAGAGATCAAGTCCTGCAGTGCATGGGACCAGGGCATGAGGAGGGAAGGCACTATTCATAGCAACCCTTCTAAGAGAGTGACGAACTGTCACAGCCCAAAGCCTGGAGGATAGGCCCAGGGTGTGAGGAAGAGAGATGGTACCACTTTCAGTGCTAACGTCCTGGACTGAGTATGAGGAGGGAGGTTGTTCCTGATAATACTTGGAAAAAGCGGACATGTACATACTTCTCCTTGGAGTTGGTGGAGAACACACAATAGTAGACACTGAGCTCTGCTATTTCAGGGTCTTTCCACTTGCTATTTTGCAAATAGTCCTGTCAGATTGAAATTGTTTTATCCTCAATTTTAAGAAGATATGGAAAAAAATTGTTGTTGGGTTTAAAGAAAGTTTCCTATGCCATAGAGCTACTAAGTGCCCAGCATAAAATCTTTCTTTTCTAAACTGGAAACTACTTTATTCCCCATTGTAAGATTTATTTTATTTTATTTAAAAAAACTTCACAAGCTAAGGCAAAAAGAAAAGCCTGTGAACCAAGTATTACAGGTCTTGTAAAATTATAATGACTAGGAACATCTCCCAATATTTCCCCCTATGAAGTCCACTTACCTGCACTCATTCTAAGAGTGTCATTCACCCACCAGGAGTGGCGCTAGTAACCATTTTAGATAGATCTTTTTCTGCTGTGCATCTTTAGAGGGAGATGGGTCTGCAAGAAATACATCTCAATGATTTTACATTATGAAAAACAGTATATGTACAACACAGAAATTCAAAGGCATGTGAAGATTGGCTTTACTTGAACACTTGTGGGAAGGCAATGTTCATCCTTAAGAATATCATAATATCATAAATGCAACTTGAGCAAGATTGTGCCTCACAGTTACTATCTATCTTTATTAAGTACTCATAAATAGCATAGATAGATGTTTGTTTTTATAATTTGGTCTCTTAGTAGCTGGTACACACAATTAAATCCATTAGGTCCAAACAAAGATTAGAAATAAATTAATGGCCTGGGAGACTGTACTTATGATTCCTTAACCCTTAAAATAGTTTAACATGTGCTCACCCTCATCATCCAGAGACATAGCTTAAGAGGTATTATTTGTTCAACCCTAAGACTATTTCTAGAATTAAAATACCTTATTCAACAAAATATCTAGCCAAGTATAGTCTCATAAATCTGTATCTCTAGCATTCTGAAGGCAGAGGCAGGAGGATTATCCATATAGTCCAAACCACTAAAAAAAAAAAAGTTGAAGTCACATTCCATCACTGGATTGTAAATTCACTGGGCTATAAAAGGACAGCCCAGACCAAATATATTTAGTACTTATTCCAGATCTCAGTCCAGTTTGGACATTACTCTTAAGCTTAATGCTACACACTAAGCATATAAAGGAAATTAACTTCAAATGTCTCAGAGATGAGTTAATTTCATGACTAAGACGGCTTCATGGGGCTGAAGAGATGGTTCAGTGATTAAGAACAGTTACTGATCTTGCAAAGCACCTGGCTCACAACCATCCAGGACTTCAGTTCTAGTTCTTACTTCCACAGGCACCAGGCACGCATGTGGTGTACATACATTCAAGAAGGGAAAATAATCATACATATAAGAATAAAAAAAATCTGATAATATTAATTCACATTTAATTTCATAGAGGAAGAGATGAGAATATGCCATAAGGCCTATAAGATCAGCTAAAACAGTACATCCATCTCTAATTACAACATGCTTAATAATCTTTTGAAGAGAGTAAATACTTTTGCAGTCATAAGACAAATCTTCCCAGTTCCTGTCTGTTCTATTTTAGATCCTGAATTACTCAAAAAGGCCATGTGCTATTGCCATAGACCTAGGGTGGCACTATTGAAAGGTACTAGTGAATTTAGGAAGGTCCTATGACATTATGGAAGGTTGCTAATGCATTTTTGGATATGACCCAAGGGAACTGTGAGTCTTTGGCTTTCTTCTTCCTTCTAGCTACAGTTATCTTTTTCAGAACATGTGTATCCAAGAGCCCTTAGCTCATAGAGGAAGGAGGCAATTATTTCTGAGCTTCTTATGTGTAGTGCGTATTTCTTTTTATGTGTGATGTGTTCTTTGATGATTTCATACATGTAAAGAGTATATTTTGTTCATACACATTCCTAACTCTCCCTTCCTAACTCCCCCTTCCTAAGTACCCTGGACATTTCCCCAACACATTCCTGTGGTGGTATTGTGTTCCCCAAAATATTGTGCATGCTAATAAGCTTATCTGGGGTCAGAGAAGAGAACAGTCACAATATTAAACATTGAGGATAGGCAGAGGTAACACACACCTTTAATCCTAGCATTCCAGAGGCAGAAATCCATGTGTTCAAGGATACAGCCAAGCATGATGACTCACGCCTTTACTCCCAGAAAACGAGCCTTTAATCCCAGGGAGTGATGGCAGAAAGCAGAAAGATATATAAGGCATAAGGACCAGAAACTAGAAGCTTTTGACTGGTTAAGCATTCAGGCTTTCGAGAAACAGTTCAGCTGAGAGCCATTCGGATGAGGACTCAGAGGCTTCCAGTCTGAGGAAACAGGATCAGCTGAGGAACTGGCGAGGTGAGGTAGCTGTGGCTTTTTCTGCTTCTCTGATCTTTCAGCATTCACCCCAATAACTGGCCTCAGGTTTGATTTTATTAATAAGAACTTTTAAGATTCCTGCTACACATCCCCTTTCTACCTTCATGTTCTCTCCTTATTATTTACTTAAAAATCATTGAGACCAAGTATTGGAGTAGTGGCTGATATTATCAGCTTGATCTTATATTATCGTCTTGCAGGGGAACCATGACTGCAGTGAGTATCTGAGTGCAGACGTCACAGCAGCCTTCCACATCCTCCAGCTTTAAGTCTTTCTGTCACCATGTCCATGGTATTCACTGAGCACTATAGACAATGATACATATGTCCCATTTAGGGCTGAGAACCCACCAGTGCTCACCACTTGATCAGTTACAAGTTTCGTTTTAATTGTTGTCCACTGCAGGTAAAGTTTCTTTGGCCAAGAATGACAGATAGCATGGGTACAATTTCTGGGTATAAACATAACATTTAGGATGCAGTTAGATAACATGTACATTTAGCAAACCAGTAGTAACTTCACCTCTAGGACCTCCTGAGCACTGGGTTTTTTAAATTGGGTTTTTTTTAAATATGTTTATGATAATAGTCTTGAATTCCCTTCTATAGAGCAGGTCTCCAATCTAATCATAAAGCAGTGGATTACCCCCTATTACTGTCATACCACTATGGCACCAGTGGGCACATCTTCCCCAGCAGATCAGTATTGTAGTATGCAAGAGTCACAAGTTGAGTGATACCGGTGATGATTTTTCCCCCAGCAACCTGCACTTTGAAAACGAGCCAGAAGGGAGGAAGATTCCAGGCCAGTCCCAACTTGAGTTCTCTATGTCCTGCAGACAAAATGTACTATGTATTCAGAAATAGGGTCTTATCATCTATTTATGATGAGTAACCAAGAAATGTGACAACAGTTTGTCTTGCTTTGGAGACTTGTAGGGCTTCCCTGACCAATAACTCATATAAAGCTATCTCATATGTGGCACTGAAATTTTCATTTAGTTACCCATGTTTTCTGGAGCAAGCATTGTCCACCCATGTGGATACAGATATCAAATTTTTTAAAATTGTATTTTAATTAGCTTGCAAAATAGTGGATTTCCATGGGAGTTTTTGTACTATCTTTGAGTTTTTCTGGCCCCAATCATAACCCCTTCTACATTCTGCCCCCTCCACCCTACCCCTGATTAAACTTTTAACCCCAAGTATCTCCCGCTCCAATCTCATATCACATCTGGTCTACTATTCTCCCATACTCTGTAGGGTCTTTCCCTCCCCTCTCATGGGCTATTTCTAGCTTCCCAACCTCAACAGACACTCCAAATTAAACACACAAATCTAAAATTCAAAGCTAAGATCCGCATATTAGAGAAAGCATATGGTGTTTCTCTTCCTGGGCCTGGGTTACCTCATTTAGTATATTTTTCAGGTCCATTCCTTTTCCTACAGACTTCATTTCTCTTTACAGTTGAATGAAATTCCATTGTGCATATGAACCACATTTTATTATCCATCCATCAGCTGATGGATATCTAGGCTGATTCCATTTCCTAGCTATTGTCAATAGAGCATCAATGAAAACATATGCACATATGTCTCAATAAGAGGATGTGGAGCCCTTTGGGTATGTGTCTAGGAGCAGCAGAGCTGCATCATATGGTGGTTTTACTTTACTTTTTAGTGGCCACACTAGTTTATACTCCAAGTATTCTCTTCCCCCCACATTCTCACCAGTATTTGCTATCATTTGTTTTCTTAATGATACCTATTCTGACCATGGTGAAATGGACTCTCAAAGGTTTTAATTTGCATCTACCTAATGGCTAATAACACTGATTGCTTTTTAAAGTGATTTTTTTTAGCCATTTGTATTTCTTCTTTTGATAATTCTCTATTCAGTTTCATGGCCCATTTTTACTAGGAATGTGTTTTCTTGATGTTTAGTTTTTTAGTTATTTGTATATTCTATTCACTTTGTATATTCTATGTATTCTATATATCCTCTGTTGGATATAGAGTCAAAAAATATTTTCTCCACATTCTATAGGCTATCTCTTCATTTGACTGACAGTTTCTTTCAATATTAAAAAAAGCCTTCCAGTCTCATAATATACCATTGTTGATTATTAGCTTTATTTCCTGAGTGGTCCAAATCTTATTTATCCATTATCTTATCTTTATAGATATATCTTCACGTGTACCTCTACCTTTTCTTCTAGCAATTTCATTGGTCCAGTACTTATGTTAAGGTTCTTGATCTATGTGGAGTTGTTGCTGTTGTTGTGTTGTTGTTTTGGCAAGGTAAGAGATAAGAAGTTAATTTCTTGACCAGTTTCCCCAGCATCATTTGCTGAAATTTTCTCTCCAGTGTAAGTTTTTTGGAATCTTTGTCAAAACGAGGACTTCTATAGTATTTATAGCTCCATCTGCTATTCTATTCCATGACCCGTGTGTCTGTGTTTGTGCAAGTACCTCACTCTTATCACTGTGACTTTGTAGTATAACTTGAAATCAAATATGGTGATACCTCTAGCAATATTCTTCTTTTTTCTCAGGATTTCTTTAGCTACCTATGGTCTTTTGTGCTTCCATAGATGAATCTTAAGAATTTTTTTTATTTATGTGAGAAAAACATCACTGCAATCTGTATTTGTGTTGCATTGACTCTGTAGATTGCTTTTGGTAAAATAGACATTTTTACAATACTGTCTTTTTGCAGTCATGGAAGAGTTTCCCATTTTTCTAATAAATCACTCAATTTCTTTGTTCAGTCTTTTAAAGTTTTCTTTATAGTGATCTTCCTCTTTCGCTAGGCTAATTGAAAGGTATTTTAAGGCTATTGTGAATGACATTGTTTTCTTTATTTCTTTTTTCAGTTTGTCTTTGGTATATGAGCAAGCTAATGATTTTCTTGTGTCAATTTTTCATCCTGACCATTCCATCCAAATGCTACAGGATGCTCATATTTCTCAGCAGCCAATGGGACTTTCTCCAAATTATTTCTTTAAAAGTTCTTTCTATATCCTAGATATTAACCCTCTGTCAGAATTGTAATCGATAAAGATTTTTTCCACTATGTAGCTT